CTACGGTCAGTTATTTCAATTTTTTATGTGTGTATTAGTTTTGATTTTTTGTGTGATTTTTCCTCTTTGATTTGGTACTTATGTTTAGCTATTAGTGATGGACAGATTTACGAGAGAGCAAAGTCTGCATATGATGCCTTGTCAAGTTGCTTAGGTGAACAGAATTACTTATTTGAGAACAGGTGATTCCTCTAGTTGAGTTATGGTGAACTTGTTAGCATAATTATCTTTTGTTAGAGCAATTTGTTGGAAGATTTTGGTTTGTTTTCATTTTTAGAGCAATTGTTGACTTTGACCTCATGGTGATGTATTCATATGCTTTATTCGGATTATGCAGGCCATCAAGCTTGGATGCTATTTTTCTTGCACATGGACTAGTTGTTCTTCAAGCTTTACCTGTAAGTATTAATATTCATTACTTTGTTACTAACATTTGTTTTAGATAATTGCGTATACTCTAGTGGCTGCTTGGTTTATACTGGTCAATTAGAATTGGGGTTAGATAGTTATGGACTTATGTTTACATTTTACACTCTGGGAACTATCATGAAGTTGGTATGATTCTCAAGATGTGAATGAATGTTTTTGGCACTCTATTGACTGAAGCAGTGTAACACATTAGCCTATAGTTAGGTAAAAGAGAAATTCATTCAGAAAAAGGATTATGTTAGGGAACCCATTTATAGCTGTATATGAAGTGTTTTCAAATGGTAAGCTGCCAAATTTTGGCAGAGTGAATGACAATTGACTAAGATTGTTCTTTAAGGATTAAAGTTAATATTTGAAAGGTTTTATCATAGAAAAAGAACATTAATTATTGCTAAAAGCTGTTCAAGAGCAATAGACAGTCAATCTGTCTGCCAACTGGCCCCAACTTCAATTTCATCATTCTTTTTAGATCGTCCAAAGTAAGAGATATTTCATGCTGTAATCATGTCCATTTGGAGTTTTTTGTACTTAAATACTTCTCTCTGGTGTAAGAATCACGGGAGAGTGGATCAGTGTTGCTAGAAATAATAAAACAACTGCAATGGGGCACACTAGATGGAAAATTTGTAACTCAGATTTTTCTGGTAAGACAGCTGAGTGAGAGATTGGTGATTTGGGGTTCCTATTTTTCTTCTTATTGAGAAATGTGTTAGTTTTTAAACATAATCTGATTTGGGGTAATAGTGTAATACTCGTCCTGAACAAGGAAACTAATATTTGCTATTTGGTAATACGCCTTCTAAGCCTCCATACGGAGTTGCTTTTGCATTCTTCTATCCATGAGATTCCTGTCTTCTCTTAATGAAGACTGTAGATATATATTTTTTTATTTTATTTTATTTTTTGCACCTGTGCTACATGTGTTTGATTCCTGCATTCATGTACCATCAGGAGTCTTCAATGCTGCGGACCAAGTTTTTGGAGCATGCTAATTTAGTTAGATATGTGCAACAATGTAAGACAGAACTTATTGAAGCCGCTCCATCTCCTCCCTCTGGCCCACAATTTCATACCAATGCATCATCGTCTGCTCCCAAAAGTCATTCAAGTAGGATATTTTCTGATTTTGTAAATGTTTACTTCTTAGTTTTGTTTGATGAGTTTGCCTTAACAAGCATAAGTGGTACTCCGATTATTCTAGATAACTAGAACATAATTCTTCTTTCTAACAATTTTATTTGAATACAGTGGCTGGGAATATGCTGGCATGGTGTCGTGTTATTCAGATAGTACCTAGACCTATTCTACTTTCTAGGTCTTTTTTAATAGGACTGGAGTGTTCTGAAATTCATAGGTTTCGGTGACTAGAAAATTATGGGATGGGTGTAATCAAATTTCAACCAGTGAAATGTTAATCTTTCAGCTATTCTTAAGATGGAATCTCATGGTAACTTGTTATTATACTATTATTATATAAAATATAGAATACGCAAGTAAAGCCAATGCTGTGCGCCAATATATTATATCTATTAATCACAGAATCACTACATGTATTAAGCTTGTTGTGTAACAATTGAGGTTAACTTGATTAATTTTTCTTGGATAAAAGAAAACTTGGTTAATGTTTTCTTAGGTTAGGTTTGTGACCTTGTTGTGCTCTTGCATAATAAAACCATAAATTAGGGCTCATGGTAGTTGCCTTGCCTCCTAATTCCTAAATCTTGGCGTGTCTTTAAAAATTTCTGCATGTGGTCATATGGATAAGGAAAAATGAGTTTTCAGGTTAGAACAATACGTTTTATGTTGAAGTAGTTTCAATTTGTGGCACAATGCCACTTATTTAGTTTCTCGGGTAAAGTTTTATTGTATTATTATTAGAATATGTTAATTATGTGAAAAATGTATTATATATATATATATATTTTTTATTTATTTTAAACTCATGCGATGTCACTCTTATGTGAATTTAGGTTCAAAGCCAAAGAACAAACCCAAAAGAGAGAAAACAAAGGAGGAGAAAACCTTCAAAAGGAAGGCCAAATATTTTGTAGCAGCACAGTTGGTTGCAGTTGTTGTTTTCCTCACACTTATGACTTCATTTGATGATGCTGAACTGGAGTTAGATGATGCTGATGGGGGTTATGATTACTATGAGTGATAATGCATTCATTTTTTTTATCTTACTCTCAATTATAAAGCCAAGGGTGCCAACCTAATAAATCAAGTGTCACCTGTACTTTGTTACGATGCAAAATTGGAAATTACCATTTATTCTTTAAGATCCACTCATACTAATTACAAAATCCATTTTTGTACACCAATTGATTTTATCGGATTGATCATTGGAATATGCTAATTTTTAGAGTTGAAGGAAATGAACCATGACTTGACTCTTCAGTGAACCTTTGGCTTTGTCGGCTTAATCAGTTTTTGAGAGTTATTATCTCGTGCATACGAATAATAAATATGCAACAGATTTCTGCCCTTTTCCAATAGAGACAAGTCTGCGAGGGATAAATTTAAAATTTATATTAAATGTATTATTTGGAGAGTTTTACAAAGGTTCTTGGAAAAACAATAGAAAAAGTAACATATATAGGCTTGTACAATACTCCTATTGTATAGAAGGACTGGAAACTAAAAGGAAAACAAGAATTTAGTTTTTTTACTATACAATTTGGATAGGAGAGGTAAAATCGACTCTTTTGGACGAGGGAAAAATTGGTCTAGATGGTATCTTATTAAAGTTTTAAAGTGTGTTGGTGAATAAGGTTTCATTTGGTTTATTAAGTTTTTTTAACGAGGTTAAATAGAACGTATGATGAGTGGAGAAATAATCCTTTGGTTCTCTATTTATGGACAAATGAGATATTCACAATTGTACTAGCTATATAGATATAAAACTTACGGGTCATTGCAGATTTTACGATGGGATGGTTTACTAGATGGGAAGGTACCTCTCTAATGGGTTTACTATATAAATCTTTACAACTTTTATGGAGGTTGATGGAGAGGAACAAAGTAAATAAAGAGATTCATATTATCATATATGGTTTCAAGAGACTTCTACCATGTGTAGCCTATAAGAAATTTTGGTTCAACCGATTTTTCACATCGTGGCCTGCGGCACTAAGTGACAAATTTTGAACATTCCAGATATTTAAAGGAATCACAAATAAAAAATAAAAAAAGAAACTAGAACCATCTTGTTTATTTTACCGAAATTAAAAGCACGTTTTACACTTTTATTTTTAAGAAATTATGACTAGAGTTATCATGTCGGAGTGAAAAAAAAAATTGTAACTTCTACATTGGGCGAGATCATGTGAATTTACTCTTATAATAAAACCTACTAATCACAAATTATTTAAGTAAGACGGTTTTTTATTTATTTTTTCTATAATAACTGTATATTGTAAATTCCACGCGACCAAACAGTAAAAGGTTCGAAAGTGGTATTTCTCTATTATTTTTCATCCATCCAATCAAACATAGAGTATATAGAGTAAAAGAATGAAGGAAAAAAAAAAAGAGAGTATCTAAAATTAAGGCAATGTTAGTTTGTTATGTCTAAAAAATAGTTTCTTGTTTTTTAAATTTTATTTGTCTTTTAAGCACGTTTCTGTTTCAAAGGAATCTGTTCCCTAATCACTTAAACAAAACTTGAAGAAGATAGAAGAGAATGATAATCTCTTTTTTAGTTTTTAAAACACTTGTTTCAAAATAATTTTCTGAACGTAATAAATTTTATATGAGAAATTGATTTTCGTTAGTGTAGCTTTAAGCAAAAAAGTTTTTAAAACAAAAAACTTAAAAAGGAATCAAACACTAGGTAACACGTTTCCTTCCCCTTGTTTAATTAAGTATATAAGAATAAGATCCCTAAATTAGAGAACTCAAAAATGTTCACAAAAAACTTACAAAGAAGGCTTGATATGGAGTATTACTTTCATTTCCCTCCCTCGTTATAAAAATTATCAAACAGGGTGAGAGATTGGCACAAAATCTTTCCCTCCCCTTAATTTTCCTTCATCTAAAACTACCCTTAAATAAATTTCATTCACTGTCACACTAAACTAAATAAATGAACCAAAAAATGTAAGCCATCTACAATATCTATGTTTCAGTTCCACAAGAAATCTGCTGCAAGTTCACATTGTCCCATTTCTTAACAAGTTCATTATATCCCTCAGCATAGTCAACAGCAAACTCTGCCATTGAGCTCATAGCAGTTGACATACCAGCACAAAGCACCTTAACAGCAACTTCAACCAATTTCTCAGTATTCATTACCTCTTCAACCTGATCAATTTCTACCATTTCCATATTCTCACTATGTTCTTTTGATCCAACCGGATTTCGCCGATTCTCTTCTCTTAACTGTTGTTCATAGAGGGACCCCATGCCAGCTGCAAAAAAATCTATGCCTTCAAGCACTGATGTTTCTTCGAGAGCATCTAGACGCCTTGACAACTGAACACAAAGTCCAAACAACGGATGAATGCCACTAGACCTTCGGGGAGAACATGCTAGCTTTGATGGATCAGGCTCACATCTCACACATCTTAGAAGCCAGCCAGTTAGAGCATGAATGTAGGATCTTTGAGAAGTGATCCATGCCTCAAAAGTGTTTCGCCAATGCCTCAATTCAGTTTCAAGATTGGAGGCTGAACGAGCAAGCCTTTGCGGATCAGTTAGTGATGTGGCACATTGTTTTCTGGCATCAGTGTCAACTAGAAGAATCTTAGCTTCCTCTAACGTTCTCTTCTGTGTCTGATGGCATTCTGCCATCACTTTCCACATCTTGGCAAGCCTGTTAGACAAGGTTGAGTAGATGCTATTTAAATTTCATAGTTATAATATACAAAGTATTGTAAAGTTAATGATCTAAGTTAACGATTTTTAACTCAGAATTAGTCTTCACTATTGTAATATTACCAAACAAAGACTATTATTAGCAGTGATAAGATGGAATATTAGCGGTGAAAATACATTGAATTGCGGTCGAAGATTTACAGTTTATCTAGAAAATAAAGTTGTAAGGGAATTATGATTTTTCATACGTACCCTTGCACCAATTCAAGTAGCTGGGGATGCAACTCTTCATCTCTTAGAGTTTCAATTCTTCTGGAAATAGCTTCAACTGAGTGTATTGAAACTGTTATCTGGGTATGTAGATCTCTAATGGCTGCTCTTGTTTTATCAACAGAAGAGGGTTCCTCTCCATTTATATCATGATTCCTGAGTTGCTGACATTTCTTCTCATATGCAATACGAACACGTTCTCCAGACTGTTGAAGAAGAAAGTGGCATAGCATTAAGTTTCCCATTATTAAAATTGTATGCAATCATAAACATCATGACCTGTAACAATAAAGTTTAAAAGAATGATAGTACTAACTATAAACCAATTGTTGTTTTTATAGATGATTGATAACCTTAGAGTGAATACTAATTCTGTTCACCCCTAAAGGATTGTCTAAATAGGAGCTTACTGATAGAATTGAACAAAGGCCAGCTAAGTGTTAAGAAAATTTTAATTGATGACCAGAGAGAAGAGTTATAAGTTCCAATAGGCTATATTTCAAGCAGCAAGTATCTTTACCAAAGCATATCATCCTAGAAAAGTTTATTGAAATAAATATTACAATGCATTAAATAGTTCATAGGTAGCAATTCAGTAAGAAATGTACCAGTAAAAAGAGTTCAGTAATATACCTTGACTTCCTCAAAGAGCTTCTTCTCCCATGCATATAACCTGTCTAATGTTGACTGATGACTAACAGAAAACAAGCAATGTTCCTCTAGTGGATCATCGGTGATTTCGCAAACCTCATCCATAGTTCCTGAAGAATTCATTAAAAATCTTGATGAGGTTGAGCGTGAAGAAGCTGCGCGAAACAGCGCTACTGGGTTCAACAATTTTGATGCTGCAAAAGAAAAGCAATTCAAATTTATATTCTTCAAAATTTACAAATAGATATTAGTGAAAGAAAAATGATGTACTAATAAAAAATCAAATGAAAACTTGGGAACAAGTAAGAATATTTCTGCAAACAAGACAAACACATTTTCTATAGTATGGAGAGGATTGACTTTGCATTGGCCAAATGTTCCTACCATAAAAGAGCAAAAATTGCAATTTTTGACAATTAAAATGTTTAAATGCTTTGCAAACATTGCTAAATTCTTGTTCTTGCAATTTATTCTTGAAACTTGAGGTTTAACTCAGAATTCTGAACACTATGAAATGCAGAAGCAAACAAGAACACTTCCAACAAGGTGAAAATATAAAACATATACTTTCATCAAACCTGATAGTTCGTTAGAAGTTGATAAATACTGAGTTTTCTTGGCCTCTAACAATGCTGAGACATCACTGGCTGCATTGCAGATTATTGTGAATTGAGCTTCAAGACCCCTGATCACTTCAGACATGCTTGTGGGTCTTCTGTCTACATAAACAGTAAAACCAGGTGTTTCCTCCTTAGCTTCTTGATTACCAGTAGCCATTTCCTGACCTGCAGTTTGAGCTTTAGATACTTGAAAACATTCACTGCCATTGGCTTGCGAGTTTGTGACATCATCAGCAGTTCCAGTTCCAGCATCTTTTCCCTCCTCTTCCTCCTCCTCCTCCTTATGTTCATCAACATCTTCAACCGTGACTTCTTCTTTGGCAGGGTTGACATCAATTTTGGCTCTTTCTTCTGCTACATTTCTCTTCACAACAAAACCTTCTTGTTCAGTTTCATCTTCTTCCAGGTCCGGTATTCCTTCTTCTTCTCGGACCTGCATCATTTCTCTGATCTCATCATCCATTCCAGGGTTTCTTCTGGGGTAACCATAATAGTCCAATGATGAAAATGGGTTCCAAAATGATTCCCATTGGGAAGATTGAGGTGAAGGTGGAGGGATATTAGGCCTGTTATTGGGAGAGTAAGCAAAAACTGAAGGATTCATAGGTGAGGATTGCATGGGGAAAAAACCATCAATGCCAAACTGGTGCATGGGAGAATAAGTTTCAACCCGAACCATTTCAGGCGATTGAGGCCTTTCCTCAACTGAAATTGCTGGATTACCACCTGGCCTTAGGTAATTCACCTTCAAAGTTGTTCTGGGACCAAACTCAATTGTTGTCGGGGAGAAGGATTTTGATGATATGGGAATGAAGGTAGTGCTAGTTTTGTTCACAGGTGTGAAAGGTGGGCTTATGAATGAATCTAATGACATCTCGCATGGTTCATCTCCTTCAAAGTAATCACGAAGTGCGGTTGAAACCCTTTTCAGAGACTGAATGTATGCTACATGTCCAGTAGCAAATTGAGTTCTTTGCTCAACTGCCTGTTTGATGAACCGCTTTCTGTCTTTGCAAAGCTTAACTGCCTCTTCATCATCCAACCTTGATTGAGAACATCCCATCTCTTCACTATCTCAGGATTGCATTGAAATGGATGATATCAAAGGGAAACTCTTATTTATCACAAATCTGTACACACAAACAGAAAACTTCAATATAAAGAGAGGAAAGAAAACGTAAATAAATTAAGGTTTGATTACCCATTTGGTTCCTATATTACATACACTTATAATTAATACGTTACATTTTAATTCCTATGCGTGCTTTTTTTATTTATTTACTTAGTTTTAGTCCTTGTTGTTTATTATTATAGAGACTAAAAGGAAACTAAAACAGTATGTATAGGGTTAAAATGTAAAGATTACGAAACTATAAAGGTAATTAATCTTAAAATTAAGCATTGTAGCCAAAAGAAATGTATCAAGGTTAATAAAGTTGGATGCTTTTCTTTGTTGTCAAGTCACAAAAGGGCAATGGAAATAGAGACTTGGCCAAGAGAAACAAGTAATAGAGATTCCTCTATGTTTTCCATAAGATCAAACTATGCTCAATCACAACGCAAAGACATTAAGAAAGAAAAGAAATTTTGATCTGGGAATTTTTGTTTTCGGTATAGGTGAACAAAACCACTCGAAATCTCAACCAAAAATACATTACATAGTGAAAACAATTAAGGGCATACATTCATTAAAACAATCCTCAATTAGCCGAGGAAGAAAACCAGTATTCAGATCACAGACTAGGGGGCAAATCAAGGTGCCCATGACTTACGTAACTAAGAATATAGAAAGTATAAAAATGTTATTTTGGAACAAAAAACAAATGCAACAGAAAAAAAAAAGTGACACGAGAGCTGAAGGGTACCCATTTCACAAAAAAAAAAAAAAAGAAGGAAAAAAGCTCAATGCAACCTCAGTCTCTTGCTGTTAAGAGCTGAATGCGCTAGGAGAAGGAGAAAGAGAAAATACAAAGTGTTTGGGTTTGATTAAGAATGAAGATGAACAGTGAAGCATATACATACAGAGAGGGAGAGATAGAGACGTTGAGAAAAAGCAACGGTCAAAACATGAAGAAGTGAAACAGTGTTGTGTGGGAAACATAAAAAGACAAGAGTTTGAAAAGCAACAACAAAAAGAATGTGACATCTGCCCTTAATGTTGCACTGAATTTCTTCACTGCCACAAATGGAAAAATGTTTATGAAATTGACAACTCAAAATCAGGAATTAGTTGGCCCAATTAGCTACTACTCTCTTCCTTTTTCCATCTAACCGTTGTTTCAAGTTCCCAATTTGTATTTTGAAATCCAAATTTTTCAGTTATTTTAAGTCAAATTCAAATATACTCATGTTTGGACAAAAATTTCGACAAAAATTTATATAAAATATATAAATAAAAATGAATTAAACTTTTTTTGAGTTAAAATATAGAATTTTTTAATTTCTTTTTTTTACAAATTATAAGCTAAATATAACTCATAGAAAAATGTTATTTTTTTTTTGTCTTATAAGTGTTTCAGTTTTTTTTTACAAATATACTTTTTTTTTCATATATATAGTTCTCATAATATCTCAAAATTAACAATTAAAATCAATCTAACATCATTAGATATGATTTTCACTATTTATAAATCTAAGCAAAGAGTTTAACTAGTTGAATAGTAATATTTTTTCTTCCAAGGTTACAAGTTAAAAAGCAAAATAAATAAATAAAATATATCTTTAGTGTATAAGACAAAAAAAAATCAATTAAATACAATACACCCCATCATTCTTTTTCGTTGGGTGACCGGTTTCACCTCTCGGAACACTGAGATTTTGTGGCATAAAAAGTTGGGGTCGATACCTGGCATATCGGCCGCCCGCCACGCATCATCTGACTACAGCTTTGAAGCCGAGACCATTTGCTAACAGTATCTGCAAAAAACCCCCGTCTGACATGGACGATTTGAGACGCCGCACCGACAAATATATGCAGATGGAGGAGCTTGTGGAATTCCGCAATCAGGCTAGGGCGGAGGTAGCAGCCAAAGTCGAGAAGCCGGCCGAAAGCTCTTATCAAAGCCGCCCTAAGGACCTCGTCCCAAGAGACAAACCTATTCTCAGACCGAGGTATTCTCATTGCACTCCGCTCAATACCATTCGATCGGCTGTATTGGACCAGGCACTAGCTTCGGAGGTCCTGGCAGTGCCAAAACGAGCCTCAACCCCTCCGCATGCCAACACAAGCAAGTCCTGTAAATATCATCGCAACCGGGGTCACTCGACTAAAGAATGCGCAGCTCTAAAAGATAAGATTGAGGACTTAATCAAACAAGGGCAGCTTCAACGTTTCTTCGATCGACCTCGCTCTCCCCAACACGATGATCGTCGGCATCGTAGAGAACAACCTGACCGAGACAGATCCGACAGGCGTCCTTACAGGGAGCAAAGCCGGTCGAGGGGCCGAAAGGAAGACGAGTCGGCCACCCAACCCCGAAGAATCATCAACACCATTGCCGATGGATTCTCAGGCGACGGTTCCACCTCTTCAGCCCAGAAAAGACACCTGCGAGCCGTCCGAGCTGTACACTCGGTTGAACGCACTCAGGGAAGGTTGCCCGCCATCACATTCAGCGAGGCTGATTTTAAAGGTATCGATCCTGATCAAGACGACCCCATGGTCATTAGCGTCGAGATCCACAACTGCATTGTCTGGAAGACGTTGGTCGATCAGGGAAGCTCGGCCGATATCCTTTACTGGAATACCTTTAAACAACTCGGCATACCAGAGGCCGAGTTGATCCCTTACAATGAGCCCTTGGTTGGATTCTCTGGTGAACGTGTCCAAACCAAAGGGTACATCAAGTTATCCACTCGCTTCTGCTTCAACGGAGCCGAAGCCTGAGACATCCCAGTCAAGTACGTGGTTGTGCACGCCAACACGTCATATAACATCCTCCTCGGAAGGCCCTCCCTCAACAAGCTAGGTGCTATCGTGTTGACTCCACACTTAGCCATGAAATTCCCATCGGAGTCCGGCCGAATCATCACGGTCCACGCCGATCAGAAAGCGGCTAGGGAGTGTTATTTTGCTATTCTTCAGCTTCCCCTCCTTGAAACAACCGAGCCGCGGAGTGAAACGTGTACACACGGTAGCGCAAGAGCTTGAAACAATTGTGGACCTTGACCCTCGAATGGAGCAGGACGAGAGGGTCGAGCCGATTGATGACCGACAACCAATTGTTATCGGGCCGACCGACCTAAACGTGACCTATCTGGGTTCTAACCTGTCCGAAACGGAGAAACGCGAAATCGGACATGTCGTTAGGAAAAGCAAAGACATCTGACCGCGGCGGTCGGCTGAGATGATTTTATTTTTGGTCTTAATTTAGTCCCTAATAAATTAATTGGTCTCAATTTGGGATTTCCGTCCAAATTATTTAAACGGAGTTAACTGTGTGACCACGTGGATGCTATGTAGATGCATAGGCGGATGCCATGTAGATGCATAGGTGGATGCCACGTGGATGTCAATTTTTTTTAAAACACCTGGAACCAGAACGGCCCGTTCTGAAATCAGAACAGGCCGTTTTGGTTACACTTTTAGTGTGTAAATTTTGCACCCGGAACGGCCCGTTCTGGATGCAAAATTTACACACTAAAAGTGTAATCAGAACAGTCTGTTCTGGTTTCAGAGCGGACCGTTCTGGTTCCAGACTGCTAAGCATAAACGATCAATGATTATTGTTCACAGTTGTGAATCATGGAAGGAAAAAACCCAAGATACAAAGCATTTCAAACATTAAATTTGATAATATTATCAATGGAAATTGATAACTTCAATTGCTAAACAGTTAGGCTATACAATGTAAAATCAAAGACCATGCCATGTATCACTAAAACAGCTATTGTTTAATTATTTTTTATTTTGTGGTAAAATTATCTTCATTTTTAATGAAGAAAAAATTTACTTACTTCAAGAATAAGTCTTGATAGATTTATTGTATTTAACAATTAATGTTCTATATCAAATTTTTAAGAATTTAATTGTTAAATTAAAAAGTTTTTCATGTATAGATCAAATTTATAAAAAAAATTTAAAAAATTAAAAATCATATGATACTTCGTTAAATTAATTCAAATTAACATATAAAATATTTTTGTTTTAAATGAATGTAAAAATTTAGAGGACACTAAAAGAAAATAAATTAATAATTTTATTATGTTTATCCTATTAATTTTTATCATTTTATTCTTCTAATTTTAAATAAGTTGCAAAAAATTATAAAGTGACACTTAAATATTTCTTCAGACAGAAAGAGAAAAAGAAAAAATTATTAGTCTATTTATAAGACAATTGTATTTTATAAAAATAAATAATTTTAAAATTTTTACCATAAAATTTTTTTTTTCAAAATTTTTATATTTTTCAATAAAATTAAAAAAGAATATTCTATTATCAGTCTTGAAACGGCCCGTTCTGAATCCTGAACAGCCTGTTCTAAGTTCAGAACGACCCGTTTTGAGTCTAGAACGGCCCGTTCTGAGTCCAGAACGGCCTGTTCTGAATCCAGAACGGCCCGTTCTAAATCCAGAATGGTCTGTTCTGGTTTCAGAACGAGCCGTTCTGGTTCCAGGTATTTTCACAAAATTTGGCGTCCACGTGTTATCCACGTATGCATCTACGTGACATCCACGTGACTAACAGTTAATTCCGTTTAAATAATTTAGACGGAAGTACCAAATTGAAACCAATTAACTTATAAAGGACCAAATTGAGACAAAAAATAAAAGTGGAACTAAATTGAAACAAACAATTATTATAAGAAACCAAAATGGAATTTTAACCTTAAAGTTATATTTAAGACCGAAGTTTTAAGGAAAGAGTAACTAGTATAAAGTTTTCGTTTTCAAAATGAAAGAAATAAAATAATAAATCGAGCTAAACTTAATTTTATGATTTTTGTTAGATTCCAAAAGTGTATTTCCAAATATAGACTTGCAATCATAAAAAGAAATATGAAAAATTAAAACAGTATGAATAAAGTTTTAAGTTGAAACTCTAATTTTGTCTTTATAATTTTACGGATAAAAAAAATCATAATTACAAAAGTAGAAGAAATTATAAAATAAGGTTAACTTATTGGGGGTGTTTGTTAAGTTTAACCAAATTTAATATCTTTTTGGATGGATTGAGGACAAATTCGATTAAGTCAATCAATTGGATTTTTCTTTTTATTTTCTAATTTTATTATATTTATTATAAGTTACTTAGATTTATTTATGATTATAGACTCGGTGGTACTAGTGAAACTAAACTAAAAATATTTATAGTTTTGATATTCCAATGGGTTAATTAATTAATTAATTAATTTATTATTATTATTATTATTATTATTATTATATTTGAATGACTTGTATTTTATTTCTTATGGATCAAGATTGAGTCAATCTAGTTTTTTTTTTTTAATTATAGTATATCAACTCAACTTATAATTATATTGGGTTATGATTTCTAACTTACTCTTGAGATGAGATTAAATTTAACCCCTTTTTTTTTTGCAAGTTAAAGATGATTTGAGTTAACTTATTTTTGATACTTCAAAATTAAGACATATTATTGACTCTAATTTTGTTTATAAACATTATGATCACTTTCTCTATGCTCTATATTTTTTTTTTAATTTATTAAAATTTATTAAAGAATATAAAAATTGGTGAATCCCACACTAATTTTAATGACACTCATGTTTTTAAAATTTTTAATAAATTTTAATAAATGAGAGAAAATATATTAAGGAGAGTGTGTTAGATAGTGTGATGTGAGCACTCAATTTTTTATTAGGGTGAGTAGGACCTAACTTGTCTACTCACCTAACATGTTTCATTGTTGATTTGGACAAATTTGAATTTTAAAATTTGATCCAATGTAATTCTTAAGATAGATTTAGATTATGTTTTACACTATCTAATATGTCCTAGATTTTTTTTCAAAATATAATTTTTTCAAACATTTGTGTCCTTTTTAATAAATAATACTTTGTATGACGTAATATTATATTTAAAATGATAATATTTATTTTAAAATATATTATAAAATATATCTTAATTTAAATTTTATATATTTTATATTTTATAATTTGACTATATACCTAATATTATTTGTGATATAATATTTTTAACTTAATATTGATATAATATGTTTAAACATCAAGTTGACTTGATCTCGTCTCATTTATTTTATATTTTAATTGAGTAAAACTCGAATTCAAATAATAATTTGTACAAATTTTTAGACCGAATAAAATAAAGATAAATTAATCTCGATATGCTCTTTCCTTTTCACCCATAATCTTTACTAAACAAGTAACACAAATAACTTACATTTATACATTTTATCAACATTAATTATCATTAATTTTTTGAGCAAATTACAACTTCTCACTACAAAAGAAAATGTTAATAGTGACATACCTTATAATAACATAATATGTATCATTATAAATTACTTTTACCTATGTTATATATATATATATAATATTTGTTGATATATTGTTAAAATATGTATGTATAAACTATAATAATATATAATAAATGTTAAATTGTATTCAAAATTAACACAAAAACTATGGATAAGTATATATTAAATAAATTTATACTTATTATATATTATATTTATATTGATATTTTTTTATATATCATTATAAGTGACAAGACAAGAATCACTATTAGAATTTGAACAACGATCTCCAAAATCAAGAGTCATCTACTTGGCATTCCATTCGACCGAGGAAAGGAGGGAAGTTACATACAATATGTTGATTTGCTCAACCCATTACCCTACTTGCGTGAATAAGTCATTCTTTACTTCTTCTTCTTCTTTTTTAATTTTTAATTTTTAAAAAAAATCACTTTGGCAATGAACCACGCTCTCCAATCAAACGTTACATAGTATTTTATTTGAAGATAATGATTGTGAAGTCAAAGTATTGTGAATTGTGTTCGTTCACATAAAAAAGAAAAGGCAGCATTATTGTCCAACAATCTATGGAGAATGGAAAAGTGATTCAGCAAAATGCACCATATTACGTGACGTGCCTCTTCCTACACATCACTTTTATTGGATTTTAGTGTCTCCAATCTCACACACTGATATGAACGCACGCCACCATCTTAGTCACCACTACATAAAAAGGACACAGTTCCGTGCTATAATAATAAGAGGAAATTAAATTAAAGGGGTCATTCATACTCATACTCACACATTGAGCTTTGACATCTTGACCCTTATGTTACCCAACCATTTTCACATTCTTCCAAAGCCACAAATTTACATTAAAAGTTTAAAGGGGTGTTGTCCACTACGTAATGTTGAACAATTATCATATCATATGCTCCACTATCCATAATATAGTGCCTTTCACGATTCTTTACTATAATTTTAATGCCGCAACATTTAAGAAAGCCAACATTTTGTAGCTTTGGTATGTGGAATCTTCACGCCGATTGCTTCAAATGTTTTAATGGTTTTCTAAAACAATCATTTTAATTACATACATACAGACATTTTTATTCTTTCCTAAAAGAAAACATTTTAATTAACATACTTTAGAAAGAAACATATTTGGTCTTCGACAGAAAAACCGTGTGTTTGATCTATGTAAAGATGTGGAATTTGGTTTTCCACAGAAAAATCATGTTTTTGATCTATGTAAAGATGATATCGAAAAGGTTTAATACGTCACTAGATATTTGAATTTGTTTGAAGATTTTAATTACGTTCTTGAATTAAAAATAATTATAATTACTCTATGATCTTTTACAATTTTTTTATAATTGGACTTTTTAAGTTTGTGTATAAAAGCCTGAAACTGTTTAAAAAATAATAATTTGCGATAATTTTAC